CTCTGCAGGAGAAAGATGAGGCTTTCTACTCCCGTAAAGATTTACAGCCTCAGAAACCCTATACAGGGTAGCTATGGGTCAGAACCAACTCGACAGCACTTAACAACAACAACAACAACAACTTAACAATATTAGACATTACAAACAATTGGTTGAAGTTTCTAATTGAAAAAAAAATTGGAAGGTCAACCGACATAGTGTAGAACCCCAGCGCTGGGGATGAGAAGCCTGGGGGATGTCTGCCATTTACGAGCCCTGCACCACTTCTCTAAGCAGGATCATCTGTGAGATGAGAAAGACGGTAAGGGCTCTTAGGCAAGCAATGCATGGACTAGAAGACAAGGAAGAGATGAAAGGGAAGAAACTAAGAAAGGAAAAAGAAAAATCGAAAAAAGGAAATGGGAAAATCTGTTCCATGATTGCATAAATTGAGACGTGGTAGACAAATGTGAGGTAGCGGGCTCTTGGGGACCACTTCCCTAACCCACGTCAGCCCACAGCGATGCCATGGGGCAGAGTGGAAGTGCTCTGCATGGCTTCCAGGCTGTAAGTCTTCATGGAAGCAGACAGCCGCAGCTTCTCTCACTGAGGGGCTGGGGGGTTCAATCTACTGACCTTTAGATTAGCAGTGCAATGCTTAACCACAGCTGGCCTGATACATCCCTTATTAAGTGCCATTGAGTAGGTTCTAATTTATAGTAACCCTGAATAGGATTTCTGAGGAGTGGCTAGTGACCATGAACCAACGACCTTGCAGTTCAAACCGACTCTGAAGTTCAGCGCATTAACCCACTGGGCTGCTAACCTCAAGGTCAGCAGTTCGAAACTACTAGCCGTTCCACGGGAGAAAGATGAGGCTTTCTGCTCCCTCTTAAAGACTTACAACCTTGGAAATACTGTACAGGGTTGCTATGAGTCGGAACCGACTCCACGGCACATCACTACCACCAGCATGCCTAGAGTCTCTTGTGTTGTAAGACACAAGCCAAAGGGATGTTTAACCTATGTAACGTTTGCACATTCTTTTATGCTTTTATAAAAAGAAATACAAGTTTCACTAGAAGATGTTTTCTCCAGCTCGATTTATTAGCAAAGACAAGCAAACCCTCCATGCACAAGACAGGAACTAGGTGTGCTTTTCACAGTGGTTAACGTTCTACTCCAGTTAACATCATGATTCTGCCTGACCTTTTGAGACGTCTTTACTGAAGTGGTGGGTAGCATCCTTGTATGATCCATTAGTCAAAATAAGTAATAATTTTTTTAATTACTTAATTTTTTAATGACGTCTCAAGAACTGCTTTTAGGAAGTTACATATAAAACACCTTTTCCTACAGAGCTCATACCACATTACCTCAGTTGGATACCCCAAACCCACTGCTGTCACGCCAGTCCCAGCTCAGAGTGACTCTATATAAGGTTCCTGAGACAAGAAATCTTTACAAGAGCAGACAGTCGCCTGCTGGTTAGCAGTCCAGTGCTTATCCTGCAGTGGCACCAGGGACACTTAGTTGGATAGGTTCCTGGCTATTTAGCCTGGTACACACACAGTAAACTTCTATTCAGAAAAGTTGACTAAATCATTTTAGTGGCTCTAGAATAATGCCTGGCATGTGGTAGGTAACATGTAAACATTTACGTGCCAGACTGCAAAGCTGTTTGAACTGCAAGGTCAGTGGTTCAAGCTCACCAGCCACTCCTCGGAAACCTTATACAGGGTTGCTATGGGTCAGAACCGACTCGATGGCATTTAACAACAACACCAACAAGTGGAATTTAATTTTAACCAGTTGTCATGAATGCAAATAGAAACCCACAGCATCAGATTTACAAAGCTGAGACAACCACAGCAATGTGTACATCTTATCCCACTACTTATATATGAATAAAATCCCAGGATAACAACCTCCACTGCCATCTCCAAAAAGTTTATCTTGAAAACAAAATAACAAATGCAAGTTGTCAGAAACTGTATTTCTCACTTCTAGGAGTAGGAGAAATGCTGGTTCTTTTGACAGTTGAGTGAGAGGTAAATAGAAATGCTTCTGATAGAGTTAAAGGAAAAGCTGTGTTATCCTGACAGAACTCCTCTGGAGCCAGCCTTCCTGGACGGCTCTTCATTGTATTCAACAAGCTTTGAAAGCAGAGATGGATGAAAGCATCAGGAGGAGGCAGGGTGCCTAACAGGTAAAGGCTACCTGACAGGAAGGAAACAGAACTCGAGGGGCACTATCACAGTGCCAGTCAGGGTTCGCTTCTCAGGAGAGAAAATTCAAGTGAGAAAAAATTCAAATGAGTGAAACAGGCTATTGGTTGGACATGAAACAGAACCAGAGTCAGTTACATTACATTTTTCATTATAAAGAATATGCTGAAATCTAAGCAAAACCTATTTCTTTCTATAAATCACCAATTTTAACATGGAAATAACATCATGTGGTATATTTATTCATTATAATAAGATACATCAGTCGAGGATTTTCCAGAAACTTAGGTTCACTGCCACTAAGACACATTCATGGTTCTGTTCTAAGCAAAGTAAAGAAAGACTTATACAGCAAAGCCTTCCTACAAAACTCCATTTAGTCAGGGTCTTGTGAGACCACACTTTAAAAATCGGACAGTTTATTGAGAAAGAAGAGAGCAGAGCCTCCGCCCTGAGGTCAACACTCAAGAAGCTTCTAAGTTGTCTTACACCTCTTAAGCTTCAAAATAGCTTTGTCCTGACTGAACACACAGTAGACAGGCAATCATTAATTTATTTCATTAACTTATAGTGGGTGCTCACTATTGATCATCTGGAAATACAGGTAAGCAAAAAGAAATAATAAATCACCTCTAATATCCATTGTCATAAGCCACTTCTCTGACCCAATAAGTAACCACCCTGTTAATGCTTTCCTATTTACACAGAATAGGGTTGAAAGAGGTGAGCTCTTAAACATACCTGAAATTATTGCAGCCAAGAACCACTCCAACTATGTTCTTGCCTATGTCGTGCACGTCACCTTTAACCGTGGCCAACACAATAGTGCCTTGGTAAGGATCCTGGAGAGGAAGCATGATTGTAATTACATGCGAGCAGGTTACCTAGGCCTCTAAAGTCTGACCGATGTTGCCACGGAAAGTGGTTTAATCAACCAAGATAAGCTTACAGATAGATGGAGAATTTAAATCACATGCTCTCCAAGTAGACACCCCCAAACAGTTCAAAGGGAACCTACAGAGTTGGTTAGCTCAGGGAACTAAAACACCTAACCAACATCATGGGTTACATCACTTGCAGAGTTAGTTAACTGGCTATGTCCCATCAGAATCTGAAAAACATCGAAACAGCCCCGTGCAGAGGGACATTTAGTTTTCTTCCCATTTCCTCACACTGTTGTTCTATGCACTGTCAGCATAAAAAAAAAAAAAAAGAAAGAAAGAAAATGAATACTATGTTTGCTTGTGCCTGTCACAAACTCCCATGAATTTAAGAAATCCGGATCCTAGGGGCCAGAGCTGAGTGAGCTTCACAGGGAACTAATGACAGTTAAGAGAAAACCTTAATGGTTTTCTATGGTGGTGCAGCCAGGACATTACCATGGAATCCAGAAGTGGTGCCAAGGACATTACCAGTATGCAGAGAATACTCATTGAAAGGTCTCCAAAACCAGAACATTACTCAGTTAATTCAAGGCAGGGACTAAGTCTTGTGCAAACAAGACCTGGCAGAGCAGACGCTCTGTAAATGGCCAGTAGATGAATGAATGAATGGTTTTGTCTTAAAATCATGGGCTTTGGCTGAAAAAGCACACTTATATTGAAGATTTCACAAAGCCCATTCAAAGGAAAATTCAGAAGTATCCTGATCTCGATAAAAGAAAAGACAGATGCTGGCTCGTTTCATCTTCAATGACAGCCACAGGAAAGCCAATCACACAGACGGAGCCCCCCACCGCAGCCAGGCCAAGTCCTTAAAGGGCCCTCCACAACTTGCCTCTTCTTCTATTGTGCCAGAGAGCACTCTAGTTTCTTCTCTTTCCTTTTCCATGAAGGGGATAAGGTGGCCAACTGCCTTCTTCATAACCCGAGCTGATTTTATAACCTGGGAAAGTACAACTGAATTAGGAAACTTTAGCATAAAACCTTCCTCTGTCAGTCCGGAAGCTAAAAACAAAAATTCTCACAAGTGGGCCAATAAACATCACCATTTGATAAGTAAAGAAAATACTGAAGTTGTAAAGAATTTCATTTTACTTGGATACATAATCATCATCCATTGAAGCGGCAATCAAAAACGCAAATGATGTATTGCACAGGGAAAATCCCCTGCAAAAGATTTCTTTACTATTTTTAAAAGCAAAGCTGTCACTTTGAGGATTAAGGTGCACCTGACTAAAATCATGACCTGTTCCACAGTCTCATATGCACGTGACATTTTTAATAGCCTCATTTGGACAATGAATAAAGAAGATAGAAGAAATTCATTAAAGTGTCGTGTTAGTGAAGATTACATTGAATAGACCACATGGATTGCCACAGAATGAACAAACCAGATACTCCCTAGAAGCAAGAATGGCAAGAATTTGTCTCTCGTACTTTGGACATGTTACCAATTTCCTCAGAGGGACATCATGACAAGTAGGGCAGTGGGTCAGCAAATGAGAGGACAAGCCTCAATGACATGACTGAGAAAGTGGGCGCAAACACGGCAAGGATTATGGGAATGGCTCAGGACCGGGCAGCATTGTGTTCCATTGCACACAGGGTTGCTATGAATCAGAACCGACTTGATGGGACCTAAAATCACCTGTATTGCTGCTTATGAAATTTTAGCACAAATTAAAACTGCATGTTTTCTTCCTCAGGCCAGGTAAGTAGAGTTCACCCTGGAGAGTTTGCAGATAAAAGATAAGTTCCCTGTGGGAAAGGTCAATAATGAAGTACAAGCAGACAGAAAACAAGACTAGAAATTAAAAGTGTGCAATTTTTGTCCTGCAACGTCCTAGCATGGTACTGCGGAATAACGCACTGGACCCCAAGGTCGCTTTGCACAGCCGCTCCTTGGAAACCCTATATGGTGTTGCCATGAGTTAGAACTGACTCTATGGTAACAACGAGAAGAACTTTAGCACATTATTTTTCCTCCGCCCAGAATTTCCTGTTACTTCTCCAAGTCTGTTATATCCTTCAAGTTTCAAACTTTTTCACCAAGACCCCATTTTCAACCTTCTCCCCAGAATCTCCAGCATAGAACTCACTTAATCACCTAAACATAAGCAAGAACAGAGACCCTTAGGTTTTTCTATATCTCATAGATCCCCAACTAGATGCACAAGTCTTTGGCATCTGTTGTAACTGAAAATAAGAGTTCTAGTTTTATTGGAAATATGTCATTTAATAGATCACCGTTAACAGGTTGCTCTGGGTCGGAACCGACTCGACGGCACTTTACAACAACACTGACCACAGGGCAGGCGGTTCAAACCCATCAGCTGCTCCCTGGAAACCCGATACAGGGTTGCTATGAGTCAACACTGACCTGCAGCACTTAGTAACAACAACAACTAGAAACAAAAATAATTTTTTTCAAAATAGACACCTTTAAAGACAAACACTAGATGGTCAAATTAAATCTTAATACTACTAACTTTACATTTACCTTGGATTTGGTTTTGGTGGGGGAAGAGAGCTAAATATTGACGGTAAGAAGCATGACAAGTTATTAGAACATGAAGATTCATATGCTAGGAACTTCCAGGTAACAGCTAACCTCCACAGTACCCCAAAATGGAATTTTCTAGACATTACTGGTACTCCTAAATACATACAGAGAAAAGATGACTAGACTAGATCTCAACGTCTCTGAGATCTTGTTCAAAGTGAAACCCGAGAAATAGGCCCAAACTCACTATTCTATTAAAAGATACAGAAAAGAGTCAGTTAGGAAAATGTCTTCCCGTCTTTTGCCAACCTGAGGTAAAAACATTTTTCCAGCTCCAAAAAGGTCACCAACAACTTTCATGCCGTTCATTAGAGGCCCTTCAATTATGTGCAGAGGTCGGGGGTATTTTTCCTGGTTTAACCTGGCTTCTTCAGTATCCTCAATAATATGTTTTTCAATGCCCTACAAGAACAAAAATCAGATAAAAATCACATGAACAACAACAACAACAACAACAAAACATAAACAGTTGAACATAGCTGCATAAGAACAAAAATCAGATAAAAATCACATGAACAATTCTCTTAAGACAAATAGCCAACAAAGAATGAATCAGAAATAGTGAAGATTGCAGGTTCTGGAATAAAAATGGATGGGTTAAAATCCTGCCTTCTATCACTAACTTGAAGTCCTTGTGTAATGTGGTAGGATGAGCACTGGACTGCTAATCCCAAGGTCAGTTGTTCAAACCTACCAGCCGCTCTTCAGAAACCCTATGCAGGGTCTGTATGAGTCAGAACTGACTTAACAGTACTTAACAATAACAACAACAACATCACTAGCCCATGCAACACATAAAGCTTTTCTCCTCAGCTTCCGTATTTAAAATATTGCAATAGTACCTACCTCACATAGTCATTTGGAGGACTAAATGAATTAAACAAAGTGCTTAGGTAGCTTTATTGAGTAAAACACTCAATGATAAAGCATCCAGCTGATATGAAGTGAGGGGAGATGCACAAGAACATCCAAACCTGCAGGCAGTACCCACTCGACCTAGCCTCAATGGCTTGATAATCAGAAGTCGACCAGAAGAAGATTAATAAAAAAAAAAACCATCACAGAAATTTTTGATAAAGGAAACGCCTGCTGCTACAATTTGACAAACCTGACCTATACTCATGGAGACAGTAGCTCTATATACCAACAGAGAGGGAAGGTTATCTTCACATCAAGTGCCAATGCTATCCCTTCTGTACACACGGTAGATAGGGGTAGGCAACTTAGACAATGGCTACCTAAAATGAGGGGGCAATAAAGGCACCAGTGACTGGCTTGCAAGGTTTCAAGAGGGAGTTTAGTTTAAGAGTGTGTGGGGGAAGAAAGAGACCCCACTGAATAGTTTTCATCTTGTCTAGATGGGTCTGGTAAAAAGAGATGGGGTAAGATTCTTATGATTCAACAGTGAGCAATTGTTATGACTAATTGCGACTGTCACAATCATAAAGGTAGAAGTTTTCTAACAAAAATGGAGGAGTGGTTAATCTTACAGTCCAGGAACAGAGGACCCTAGGACGGAATACAGGCCCCTATCCAGAGAAGCAGTGACACTAAAGACGGAGGCAGAGATGGGGTCATGGAGACAGGGAGCAGCTGAGAACTCTAGACTCATGGGAAGAGAGGGACTGAGAGCTGGGGGCCAGGAGGCAGACTTGCAGAACATGCCCTTTGGTGGTGTAAATCATTATATATTCCTGAGTGTTTGAAAAAAAGAGGTAAAATGAATACAGAGAAATACTGTTATCTGAAGGTACATGGAGGGGATTATAATCATTGTAATGAAACAAGGGGCATGACTTGTTGAATGTAAAACTGATGATCTGCCCTGTAAACTTTCACTCAATCCACAATAAAAACTTTAAAAAACAAAAACACTTAATGGAAATAAGCTCTTAGGGAGAGAAAAAACTCACAAGTAACGTTCAAATTCATAATAAAATACACTTTGCATCCTGGCAGTTTAATACATTAATAAATATCTCCTGTGAGGCTGGTCTGTTTTCTCACCGTGACATTAAAGGGATGGACAAGGACCAACACTGCACAAGGGACTTCGTGGGAGACAGAGCTCTCTGACGTCTCCACAATGTGTCCAGCCCTCACTAGTGGAGCTAAGCTCTTCTCAAGTCTCCGGCTTAAGGATTTTGGCATGTGGTGGACTAGTTCCACAAATTGAAGTATGTGACTCACAAATGGTCCAAGAAATCAAAACTTAAATTCTAGAGTTAAAAAAAGGACTCTAAATTCTAATAGACTCACCAAAATAAGGAAAATAAAGGTAAAGGATTATATTTATCTTGCTTAAAATTCCAATTATCAGAAGCTTCAGGGTTTACCTGCTGACAAAACTCTTGGGTCTGAAACAGAGTTTCTCAAGTTCAGCATCAATGGCATTTTAGGCTGGATGAATTCTATGTTGTGAGGGCGATCTCAGCGCATCGTAGATATTTAGCAGCATTCCTGGCCACAGAATGTCAGTACCACCCCAAAGCCCCAGTTGCAACAACCAGGAATATCTCCAAACATTACTAAATTGCTCTGGAGTCAAAACAGCCCCAGTCAGGGACCAGAGGCTAAGGAGCGTCTTTCACCAGCACCAGCACCAACATCAACATGCACGACGAGCCTCGGCATCTCCAGTTCACGGTATGTGTTTCCATAACTCACCTTGACAAGGGCGTACTCGAGGCGTTCTTCAATGAGGCCGTTTCTCCACTCATCTGTCTGAATGACCTTTTTCCCTCCTTTTCCATGAGTCTGAATTGAAATTGGGACAGAAAGAAAGGTAAAACAAGTCACTTGACTAAACCATTTGGCAGCAAAAAACTGTGTTTTCTCCTTTAAATTCTTCCAGCCCCTAGTAAAGTGCTTAGCATGAAGATCTCAATAACTTTGAGGGAAGGAGAAAGGAAAAGAGAAATATTTTAAAAATTTAAACTTTTAGTAGAGAGACAACTGAGGTTCCATTTTTCTTTCCTAAAAGGTAATGTGCTACAAAACATTCCCAAGATAGTAAGAAATGCTACACCCAAAGAACTTCATGGTCAGTTGGTACAACACCGTTGAAAAGGACAGTGTTCTGCATTGTACTTTGGTGAATAGTGACTGGGATCTTGAATGCTCCTAAGTAGCCACCTAAGGTGAAACTATTGGTCCCTTCCTACGTGAAGGAAAAGAGAAGTGATGAAAATGGAAGATGTTTGGAATCAGATAGTCCAATGGACTAAGGACCAATGTGAATGAATATCAGTCTCCACGACCCAGAGACCAGAAGAACTAGATGGTACCCGGCTACCACTCACTAACTTCTGAAAAAGACCACATTAGAAGGCCCTGGAGAGGTGGGAGAACCTGTGGAACAAAACCAAAACTATAACAAAAGACCAGATTTACTGATCTACAGTCCTTGATCACTCGCAGGCCTGGAACGGAACTCAGCCCCATGGCTCCATTTCCAGCCAAGCAGGAGCTAAGTATACAGGAAGGACAACAACACTACCATACCAGGGAATGGTCTATCATTCAAGATCACAAGGGCAGCATTTGCCTAAAGACAAAATTCAGAAGGGTTGGAAAAGAAGGTTGAATGGAAACAAATACCATAGGGAGAAAGTGGGATAACTAGGTTACAAGGAGAGGATTGTAACCATTGAAATGAAACAAAGTATAGGACTTATTGAATGTAAAACTGATGATCTGCTCTATAAGCCTTCACTCAATTCACAATAAAAAGTTAAAAAAGAAAAAAAAAAAGGAGAGAAAAAGAAGATAGCCCCCAAACTTGATAGGCTTTCTAACTACATGATCTCAAGTCAGATCACCATTTCCCACAAATGTGTCGGCAGGCTGTAATAAGGCTAAGTCAGACACCACTCTGGAGGGGGCACACTAACAGGTGTACTACATGTCTATGCTCTCAAAGACTTTGTGGTCGGGTATGCGCGACAGCAGGCGTTGAATGAGTGGATGATAGTTCCCACAAACGTGGGAACATTAAGGAAAGAGGAGTCACCACAAACTGGGGTGGTGATGAGAGGTTTCCAAGGTTTTTTGAGAAAGAGCAGGGTCAGCAAAGGGACAGAAGTGCCAATGACCACCTGCTTCTTCATCTCAACCGGTGACACCAGCTGCCTGAACCACAAATATTAGTCTGAATTTTCTATTCATTGCTCAAATTCAACACATCACCTAATCCTAGAGCTTGCTGTTGTTGCTAAGTGCCGTCGAGGTGGTTCCGACTCATAGCGACCCTGTAGAGGGTTTCCGAGGAGTAACTGATGAGCTTGAACCACCGACCTTTTGGTTCAACTGACCTTACAGTCCAATGCATTAGCCAGTAGCGTCACACCAGGACTGCAATCCTAATGATTCTTGAATATCAATATTTCTTCTCTCCACTCCCACTTCTACTACCATAGTCCAAGCAGCTAACTGGTCTCTGCAGCTCAGAATCACTTTGGTCTCCAATTTATCCTCCACGCTTTCATACAGAAAAGAGCTCTGGTAGCATAGAGGATTATGGGCTGAACTGCTAACCACAAGGTCAGCAGTTCGAATCGACCAGCCACTGCACAGGTGAGCAATGAGGCTTTCTGTTCCCGTAAAGATTTACAGCCTCAGAAACCCTATACAGGGTTGCTTTGAGTCAGAACCAACTCCACGGCACACTGTCACCACCACCATCCAGAAGGGACTTTACAAACTGCAGAGCTGATCAGCTGGTTCCCCTGTGAAAGGTCTCCCTCACTTTCAGTGCACAGTACTGACACCTTACCACGTCATATGATATAGATTTCTCCGACAGCTTCATCTCTTTCTAGTCCTAACAGGGCTCAGTCATCCTGAACATTTCAATTCCATCCATTCTCCACTGACATACCTCTAGGCCTTCGCATGTGCCCCAAACATTTATTTAGCACCTCCCACAATGCCAGGCACTGTGGCATTCATTGTGCAAGTGCTCCTCCCCTTGGGAGAAACCACCAGCTCCACCTTTATCTGGCTAACTCCTATTTAACTTTCAGGTCTCACCTGAGCCCATTGCTCCCTTTGGAATGTCTTCATTCTCATAGCATCCTGTATTTCTCTAAACATACTGCTTACTGAACTACCATATGTGTGTGTGTGTGTGTGTGTATACACACACACAAATATATATCTCACTAAACCAAAAGTTCTGTGAAGTGAGTGTATATCTCTCTTACTAGTTGTTAGATCCTCTAAGTTCAGGAAAATGCCTAGCATAGTACAAGAGTTCAGTAAATAATGGCTGGACAAAAGTTGATTTTTTTTTTTTTTTT